TTTAAAGTTTATTAAGTTTCTTTCGAGTCAAGTACCTCGAAAAAGTGCCTCAGAAATTATAATTGCGGGAATTAAGCTTACTCCAAAACTCCGTACTTACGTATTAAAAAAAAAAATACTCCGTGTAATCCGAATTCATCTACAAATAGCCTCCACGAACGCCAAAGTCACATAAATTATTCAAGGAGCTTTCAACTGTCACCTTTTTTTTCAACTGTCCTTGGCTGGTGCCTCAATAAAAGTATGATCGAGTAACAAGTCCATTTTCTTGTTCGCCAACTACTCAATATTGCGTCTGTAGCTTCATTAGTGCCAATTTTTTCAATACGACATCCATCACCGAAAAATTCCTCAAAAAAATCCTTGCTTGTAAGTTACTACACCGGAGTTTGGTTCGTAGGCGTGTACCATGTAATATACGCACATGGTAACCCAACACATCAGCCTCGCTTCAATCGATAAATCGAACTGAAATTTTTTTTCTCTTTTTTGTGTGGCTCAAAGAATAGAATACCACGTTTGCACGTCACACGGCTCAGCTCGTCCGTAAATTAATCCAGTACCTACGAGCGTGGACTACATATGTGTGAGGTGTAACGTAAAAAATTCCGTTTCAGTAGCAACAGTTATCGCCGCCTGTCCGTCCCTCTAGTCGACAACGATGGAGCCAACGAATATGGAAGAAAAGTCGATACAGGTGGAAGGGGATACGGGAGGTCACCGTTGTGCGTCCAACGACCCAATCTGTGTCCAACTACGGACATATAGGCTTTTACTCGTGAAAATCAGGAAAAAAAAACTACCGCTGGTGTAGTCGTGCTATAGTAGTAGTTGTAGCAATAGCTTTGAAGCTCTATGTTGCAGCCTTCCCGTCTCCTCTGATCGTAATTTTCGATCGAAAAAGTCGCTTGTTTATTTTTTCTGACGAGTTCCTAGGCTGTAACCCGATCTCGATATTTCGCGTTTTTCTCTCTCTGTTCAATATCAACTAGGTAGATGTGCATATGTCTTATATAATTGCGTGCCAGTGATGAAAACTAATATTATGCTTTAGCGGATAACTAATTAGTTTCAGAATTTAGAATCAAGGATAATATTTATACGTTTACGAGTACGAATTTAATGATACATGGCAAGAAACATGTATCTTTTTCATGTCTTCAATGTCAACTAAGTATTTCAGTATGTACTACTTATACTTACATATTTTTATTTTACAAATAAAATTTGTTATTATTATTGATAAGTTTCGTATCATTTATTCATTGATGTATTGAGTGTGTGACAGGTATATACTTTTATATTTAATTGCTTTTTATAAAACTATGTAATAGTTTGTATTTTCATTATTACAGTGGGACATTTCTAAGACAGTATAGTCATTTTTTCCGGTTAAATTTTAAAAATAACTAGCACTTTCTTAAAAAGTATCGTGAACTATTTTTCTGGCTACTAAGTAATCACAGAAAAAAGTCCGTGTGGCCTAACCAAAATAAATTGTTGTATCTGAAGCTAGCATTCTCACTACTAAGGCAACAATTGCTTAGCTCACCACAAGTATATGTCATGTTGTATTCAAAAAAATTTTTGTATCCGATAATGAATTAATCAAACAAAATATACGTATATATCATTGACCTAACTTAAAAATCCAAAACAGGCAGATGAATCTCAAAGCGACAACTGTTTAGACTCAACATGAATTTTCTGTTCTGATCGTAAGTCAGTATCTACATGTTCGATTCGTTGATAGGTTACATTACCTCTTCAATACAAAACCACCAAACGCAAAACCTTCTCCCATACCTAGTTTTGATTCTCATTCACACTGAATCTCGTCCTCATCATTGCACACGCGAGGCACTTGAATATAGTACATATTGATCCACTGGACTCTCAATCGGCACTATATAATCCCTCTTCGGTCACGTCAAAGCAAATCATCCTTTCGGGCGTCAGAGATCCTTTGGTTAGCTCCTGTATCTTCTAATCGCATGTGCCTACATCAATATGGCGTCAAACGTCCGAGGCTATCAGTAGCCGATCTCTCTCTCTCTCTCTCTCTCTCTCTCTCTGCTACTCTGGAGCGCGTACGTAGAGCCCCTTGATGCAAGCTCAGTGCTTGAACCCCCTTGATCGATGATGTGCACTAATATGGCCTTGGAACACCGGTGCCGAGAGTTGAAAGGTACCCCGACTGTCGCTATTCATTACACACGAGCCGGAAATGCCCTCTCTCTACTGCTGCTGATGCTTGTGCTGTGTGCTACCTAGTGAGTTTCTCCCTGTACTTTGCCCAGTTTGTTTAATGGAACAACAATTTTCTGCTGCTTCTACTAACTGCCAGCCTGATCCTTTTTGGTCTTCCTCCCGACCTTGCTTTTTCCTACCACCCTTTGAATGTGACAGGAGCCGAATTCTTCCTGGATAACACCGCTCTTTCGAGAACATTTGTTTTACCTTTTTTGTCTCTCCATGAGAGTTTTCTGCACAAAAATTGACTGCGATGGCGTTGATTATACTCAAACCAAAATGGTGTCAGAAACCATATTCCACTTGAAAAGTGGGAGAGATAACAGGTTTCTCCCACTTATCAAGAAGAGTAACGGGAGTCTTTGGAATTTTATACAATTTTCGACGCCATCTTGGCTTAAGTACAATTACCACCAAAGCACTCAAATTTTGAGTCCTAAAATTCTCGTCAAATTGTGTGCATTGCGTAAAAGCTCACTTACATTTTTTTACGATTATTTTGAGAAGTAAATAGAGTAGATGGAAAGGGAGCTAAAGTTTTCTTGATAACAGTGTATCAAAATCCCGACACTTTTGGAAAAACACAAATAATTACAAAAACTTCAATTGCATTTAACGTTTGGTACGTGCAACTTGTAATTTTTTTTTAAATTACGTGTCACTTAATTGTTACGCAGCCTGATCAGGCTCTGATTTTAAGTCATGATTTTCCTAGCTTTTATCCTCTCGAGTGGATACTCTACTTGCAAGGTGCAGCAATCGTCTCAAGCACACTTTAGCCGTTAATAGGTTTAAGAGAAGTATCTCTATCAGCTATCCTCAACTCGTCATGCTGATCTTTTTAAACTAACGATTACTCTATCGACGAGCTGGCCAGATACTGGATTACCTGGATTACCTCGGAAGGAAGGTCCCCTGGAGGGTCCCAACACCATCAAGAAAATTTCTCTGGTCGTCTTAAAAATTGGATAAGTTAGTTTTCGGCATCTTAGATACTCATATCTGTATACTGTTGAAATATTACTTTATGGTTATATATGCTACTTGTAATTTACCTGGTTACAATTATTTGAACATAAGACTATCCTGTATCTACAGGAACTTGTATGGTTAAACTCGAGCTGCATTTCATCTATCTCTCCTTCCTTTATCCGTGTTCGACATCAGTTACTTGATCTTTAATATCAACTACTGATCCTTTGACACTAAATACAGTTGACATTAGCATATGAATCGAATATTCATGTCAACAAAATGCTTCTCTATATTTTATTGTGTATAAAATACAACTATTTTTATCCACAGCTAAAACAAAGTTGGACGGTCCTTCCAGATTAAAATTGTAACTAAGTAGATTGAATAAGTTCTATTTTTACTCTATTACTCGCGCAATTCTAAAAGTAATTTTTAATTTGCAATAACAGTTAGTATATTTTCTGTCAGAAAATATTAGCCGTTCATACTTAACAGAGTAATGTTATCTAATTTGCTTTTTTTTCAATGATTCTAATTAAAAATCTTTGACCAATTATTAACTGACAGTAATCTAAACACACTCATCGTGGAATAAGTCAATAAGTCAATCGTAAGATTTTCAATATACGTATTGGACGTTTACGCGTTTCGATATACCCATGGTGTCATCAAAGATTACCTATTGGTACAATAACTTTAAAATCCAATGAAAATCAATCACTGTAAAAGACTATTTCCAGTAGCTGCAGCTAACACGTTGGCAAAGGTATGAGAATACTATTAATGGAAATAACTATTATGCAGTCTTTTGTGTCATACACATAATATATGTGTAAAAAAGTTTGTCTAAGTGCCAATGCCAATTATTTAGCTCCCGTGGTCTTACAAGATACGCTTACATTAATGTTTCATTTATAAAAATAACCTCTGAGTGCATACGCATTTGATGCAGGCCATACATCATGCTATTGTACTAGGATAGCAGCAATGCTCACTTTCTTCATTCCTTTGTCTTTCATTTTTTCCTATTTCTCTTTGCATCTCTCTATTTTACGGAATAAATCTAGAATTCGTATCACATTTTTATTAAAGCCCTTTCCAACTGATATGAATTTAATTAGGGACTTCATTAAAACTTCACCTCTTTCTGCTTTTTTAAGAAAGATTTTAACGTGTCCTAAATTCACACTTCGTTTTAAAGAGAAAATCAGAGAGAGAGTGTGAGACAGATATGTTTGAAAGGGCAACAGTAGGTAGTGCAATTTTTTATGAATTTAAATGAACCTCTTCAGAAGTTTCTTAAGGTGTATACTTCCTAATGGCATATAAAAATAAAAATAAAATTTTAACTGGTATCTGTACATTAAACTGAGAAATAAATAGTTTCAAGACACCTGAAAGAAAAATGTTGCAAAAAATAAAAATCAGGTCAGGAGACTTGAGGTAAGATCGAAGTTTTTTAGGCACGTGCAATAAAATAAATTATAAAACAATAAAATAATAAATTATAAAACGATGCAAAAAAATTTAGCATGAGAACTAATGTTAACTTTTTCAGGTAACCCGGCTTATCATGATTTTCCTTCAAGTTACAATATTTTTGAAGTAAATTATACACATCTGCACATAATTTCTACAAATACAGATTTTAAAAAATCTTTTTATTAAATATGATTAGACCACAGTAATTCAGACAGAGTCTACAAAAAATAGTTGTAACAAATTTAAAAAAAAAAGGGACTAATGAATATGCTTTTTTTATGTGTTTGCAGGTGAGCATCCAGCGGCAATGCAGCACGGAAACTCGAGCAACAGCGGTGCCACTACGCGCACCCTGGCCCTGCTGTTGCTGCTTCTGCACGCCAGTTCGTTTGCGAGGTGACTGCTAAGCCGCGATTCGCTGATCCTATCGCCGTTCTAAGAATACAAAAAAAAAAAAAAAAAAAAAAGAGGACAGGAGGAGATTAAACATAGGCTACAGCCATAAGAGCAATTAGAAGAAGAGGTTGCCAGCACCGATGCGTTCCTCTACTACTTGCTTCTTCATCTTCTTCTACTTCTTCGTCTTCTTACCGATCTCTGATACCGATGGACAGATCCATCGATCGATCAAGGACTTAAGGGATGAGAAGACGATATTATTCACATCTACATCTCTTACCTAGTCATCCTCTACAGTTTGACAAAAAAAAGGAAGAGAGAGGGAAAAAGGGGGTGGATAAAGCGTGGACGGCCGTGGTTGTCACGACTATTGCTCATGCCTAGTTTGGCCTCTTTCTTTTTCATCCCCTCTTCTTACGTCCCTTTCAGGAGCCAACACTCGAGTGATGCTGCACTGACGTGTACATGGTGCATAGCTCTTGTTCGTACGTGTGGTATTATCACGTGTCGGTGAATTTTACGTCAAAACTCGCTGACAATTAAGGAAGTGAGTGGCACAATAGTAGATAAAAAAAGAGAGACAAAAAATGCCGTAGCTAATACAACCCTAACTTGTATTCGCCTAGTAGTCTGACTATACCCGTAATAGTACATGCATAATACGTGTAAATTTAAGCGTATGTGTGTAATAAGTACTGTGACGTTTGAGCGCGTGTGTTTTTCTTCAAAACTGTGAATACCAATGACGAACTGTAGTGGGAAAAGATGAAAGCGATGTTTCGGGATGGCTTTTCCGAGTTCCACTCGTGGTATTAGACTGATCGAAATCCATAACTACGCAAAACGCGAAGGAAGGGAGCGCTGAATGAAATTTCAGTTCCAGAATTAGAATTTTCATGGGCAAAACTACCGCAAATTGGTTCGAATTGTCTGATTTTTAGCCATGGACGTATCAGTGGGCGAAGGGGTCAAGAATTTATTAGTCAGCGATCGCTCCTCTGTGTTTAATCGTTTGGGACTCGATTCGAGTGTAGTTTGAATGGGTTTGACGGTGACAAAACTATTAATCATGTTTTTTTTTTTTTTTTTTTTTTCATAAATACAGATCATAATTGTGACGTAAGTATCGGTCAAGCCGTAAAAGTTTACTGTTAATGGTGAGAGACGCTTACTGTATTTATAAACGATCTCGGTACTCTTTGCAAAATAATGTCTTTGCGGAATAAAATGGAAATGTTACTATGTATCAATGATAAAATCGGTTTAATAACAAAATACGTTTCCAAATGAAAAACACATAGAAGGAGTGCGCATGTGATACGTTCTTGTGCTGGCACTGAGAAAAAGAAATTATAAAAATTACTGTTCTGGAATGGTAATCTAGTGCTACTCCACCGTGTGGAGACTTTATACTGTTTATACATACGATTTTTTACTGTTTGTACAATAACTTCTACTGTTTTAAATAGTAATTTTGAACGTAAGCGTAGTCACTTTTACTGTTTGTATACTAGAAATTACTGTCCAACAATGGGAAAATTTGGTTGCCAAAAGTGTAAACTCCCAGCACGAAGGAATGGCACTAAACCATACTATTCTATAGCACAGTGATTTTTTAATGTATTTTTTCTCTGTGGGGTGAAAATCGTCGGAAAATAAAAAAACAGGAAAACAAAATATAAGTGAGACGAGATAAATTGTTAAAAAGTAAACCGTAGAAAAAGCAAAATAAGAGACAAGATGAGAATACAGAAAGGGTAGGAGTGTTATGCGTACGCGCTTGTATTTTTTTTTTTTTTTTTTTTTGGAAACGATGTAGGATGGGATTACATAGTATACTGATAATATCTTTCTTCATTTCTGACTTGACTGTGTGAATTTTTACAAAAGTTGATGTATCTTTGGGTACGTACATAGTTCATATTCACAATCAGAAATCTTAGTGAGGGGTTTGGTAGAATCTCTAGAGGATATCTTACTAGCCAAATGAGGATATATACTGAGGCAGCATCACGAAGCAACCGTGAGGGCCTATTTAGACATCATTAATGACCAGCTATGTGTACACGTAAAACTGTATATTACATGTATTTAATGTAAGTATACACATACATTGCACCTTATCCGATTTTGTTGCGTGGTTACAAAGAATAACTAATATCAAGAAATTGCCACGGATAAAAATTATTTAAAGCAATTTTTATGCAAAGAAGTGATAAAATATGTAAGAAATTATTAATACGAGCAAAAAAATTTGTAAAAATTTTAATGGATTCTGTGAAAGATACTTTTATGGACATTATATTTTCAAGTATTACAGTTCATTACAGTACAGATAATACGCGCAGCACACAACAATATAAATTTATTATTAAACATCATTAGATCACTTTGTTGATCTCCTCAAAATATTTTTTACATTCCGTGAACTGGACAGGTCTTTCTGCATGTTGTTGCCACGTACCAAGTACAAGGATTTTCTAATTTCCTCTTTACACTTTGTTACTTGTCTGCCCAAATATTGCAAATTTTTTCATTAGTCCATATCAACAACATAGAGTCCACAGAGATGAAAACAATTATGAGAGACTTTAAATCTAAATCAATTTTTTTTTCACCTGACATCATATGACTAAAAAACTTGCACCATCAACGGCATCATACGTGGCATGCCTGTATGAACAATTTTAAGTGTGTATATATATATATATATATACAGATTGCTACCAAAGAAGATACCTCAGTATATACCTAACGTTTATCTCGAGATGATGCTTCAGTAGGTCTTCCTCGAGCAACCTGCTGAGGTCTCACCGAATCATCGAGGTTGCCTACTTAGATTTCTGATTTGGGCTTACACGTACATAGTGAATACAACGCGTACGTATAATTATGTTCACATTTTTTGTAGTCGAGGAAATTTGATATTTTACTACGAGCCTCGTGTGTGAACGTTCCATTATTGTTTTTCTTTGTATGCCGAAGAAGAGAGACAAAAAACCAGCGAGCGAGTGCGTGAACACATAAAACTGTGTATATTTACATACATTTTTTTCCCCCAGTGTGGGCATATGAGCCAAATATATGCGTCTCTGTAAAGCTACCGTGGTGGTGTCGTTGTTGATGTTGTTGTTCTTGTTGATTTTTATTTTCTATTTTTCGCGTTGCTTCTTTACAATACCTTTTGTTCTTCCTCGATGAATTATATGGAAACCGTAACGAGAGCATTATTGTTATGGTATGACGCCTCGTATTTTCGTTTTGTGCATATTAGTAGCTGCGTCCTGATACACCATAATATATTCTGGGATGTGCTTTTCGCTTCTTTTTAATTGTTTCATAAATATGCATGAATATGTGACTGAGTTGCGAAAAGGATGCAAGTCTGATTTTCTTGTTTTTCTCGGTTTTAGTACTTCAGAAATTTTTTGTCACTAATCTTTAGTAAAGACTGAGAATATGGATGAACTAATAAATGTGTTAGTAATGAAAACTTGGCAAACTTTGTTAGTAAACTTAGTGGTGTGTGTGCATTTCGGAAAGAATTTAACATGTACAAATGGTGAATTCGAATAGAACAAAGACGTACTTAAAGGTTTCCATCGTTCATCGTATTTAAAGCAGTATTATTTAGATGCAATGTTTTTTATTTTCTTGTTTTAAAGTGCAATCATCGTCCTTTACAAAAAGAAGCTTTTGGTTCAACTTTCCACTAAAATAATACGACTCAAGTTTATTTCAAAAAAACTTACCATTCAAAATGCCCTACTCATATAAACAGGTTTTACAGAGTTTTTATAAAGAAAAGTATTTCTGAAGAAATTAACGAGACTAATTTAATAAGAACAGTAATTTTCAGTCCTTTAGTCAAATAAATAGATAGAGTTTGACAAAAAGTGAAGTTTAATTTCCAATACTTATACCCTGGTAGAAACGTTACTACAAAAACTGGCTAGGAACTCATCAACATGTTATAAGCCCATTGATGCATGTACGTTCACGAGTTTCTAGCCAGTTTATGTAGTAATTTTCTACCAGGGTATTTTGGGTCCAATCTACATTTTTGTTAATCAACAGCTAAAATCGTATTTTCTTACGTCAACAGCTATGAGTCCTATTTTTTGGAGGAAAAATCGATTGTCGTGTTCTTTCTTGTAAGGGACAATGATATAAAGCATTAAAATTTTACAATAGTAATATTGAGGTTATGATTTCTCTTCCCATCGACATATCTTCTGTAGGTCTTGCAAGTTACAGGTGCTGTTATAATAAATGTATAGAAATATGGTACTCGAACGCAGGAATTTATAAATATATATATAAAATAATTAAAAATAAAGTGAAACGAAATGAAAAACCAATATAAGTGTAATATATTATTTATTTTGTTTTCTTTTGATTTTGTACAAAATATTACGAGCTTTTAAACTTAACGATAGCTTTAAACAACAAAACAAAAACAAAAAACTATATATAACATAGCTTTTACAGGCGTTTGTTTACACCCAATAAGTTGCGTTAGAAATATCACACGTTTGCTGCTAATCTCAAATGAAATGTAAATATTGAATATAATAAGAGACAATGGCTAAAAATTTTGATTTTTATACTATCTAAGTCGTTATGTTACCATGCGTAGATTTGAAACTGAAGGTGTAAATTATGATTGATTAACTGTATGATTGTATGAATAATGATGCAATAACAAAGAGATAACTATGTGTGTTTATAAAGACCAACACATGTATCATCGATCTATTGGTAGAAAACAGCAGAAATCTCTTTTTTATATTCACAAGTCGTCACATTTTTTAATGTGTTGTTACATACATGTTATCTGTTATTATTTTAATCATTTTAATGATTTACTGTACTGCAAACATTACTCGAAATGACGAATAAATATCAAAATAAATATAACCAAAAAATGTTATTGCTTTTTCCTTTTGATTTCCAGACTTTCCTCTCTATCAGATTTCACTTGTTGTTTTGGCTCATTAAACTTATTTTAAAACAGTATTCTAAGGTTATGAACAATTTAGTATTTTTTGTTTAACATGAGAAAATGTTTTTTTTATCTCATCACAAAAAAAGTCTCTTAAATACATGCTTCCTCTCCTAAGTTATTGTACTTTTGAGACTAAGGACAATTTTACAATATTCTTAAGAAAGAAATATTGATGAGAACGCTTTGAGCATATTGTATACACTATGAATCATAAAACTTCATGCTGCCTATGTTTGTTCATAAAAAACAAATATGGATTTGAACATAGGTTTATGATAAAGTACTAATAAAAAAAAAATTTTTAAGTACACCTACAGCTGTGAAGAAACTGTTCACTGTTTTGATTGGTTTTGAGCACATTCACTCATATGTATTACACTGCCTGGTTCACCTATATGGTACACATGTAACCTTATGAGCTAATAGATATTAACTGATTTAAAATTGGCTCAGTTTAAGCCATCAAATCTCATTTCTGTATGTCACTCGCTCAAATTTATACGTATATGAGCCCGAAAGAGAACTGCGATTGCTATACTCGACATCGTGTTCGTAGTACCCATAAAATAAAAGCAAAAAAAGCGGCTCTAATCTTCCATGAAAGCTCAGAGTGTACATAGTACAAATAAAAGGCACATAATCGCTGCTGGGCTGAAAATAAAAACCATCGACCACTGGCGCTTGCCCATGGACTAGTCCTCGTAAGTACAGTATGTGTTCAACGTCTGGAAAAGAGATTACAGCATACGGAGAAGTTTATCCAGGATATTATTATATCCTTGCACCAGGACAGCTTCTGGTCACTCGCTGCACAGTTTTCGAACGAGTGATCTTAGAGATTAAAACAGGCTCGTGTGTTTGTTTGCATGAAAATCCAACGTGAGAAGCATGTGCCGACCTATTTCGATGAACTCAAGCGAGGTAAAGATGACAACGACGGAGGATGGAAGTTGTCTTTGAAATGTAGCTTTGAAATGTAATAGTTATGACGTAAATTTAAAATTTACACATGAAGTAGAAATAGAAAACCAAATTAATTTCTTAGACATGACGCTAATAAGACAAGATAATAAAATCATAACTAATTGGTACAGAAAAGAATCGTCTACCAACACGCTTTTACACTATGAATCAAATCATACACCGCAGCAAAAAAACAATATAATTTACAATCTAGTAGACAGGGCGATAAAACTTTCTGATTGTTCATTCCATAGTGAAAATATAAAAATTGTAAGACAGATGCTGCTTGAGAATGGCTATCCAAGGTACCTTATCAATAAACACATTAAGATTAGACTTTGTAAAATTAATA